GGAGTCCTGCGTCCAGCTCTGGAGCCCTCAGCACAGGACAGAGCTGGAGCTGTGGGAGCGGGGCCAGAGGAGGCCCCAGCAATGATGCGAGGGCTGGAACCCCTGTGCTGGGAGGAAAGGGTGGGAGAGCTGGGGCTGCTCAGCCTGGAGATGAAGAGGCTGCGGGGAGACCTTATTGTGGCCTTTCAGCGCCTGGAGGGGCCTACAGGAAAGATGGGGAAAATCTTTTCAGCAAGGCCTGTTGTGACAGGACAAGGAGCAATGGCTTTAAACTAAGTGAGGGGAGATTTAGACTGGATGGAAGGAAGAAATTTTTTTTATGATAAGGGTGGTGAAACACCGGAACGGGTTGCCCAGAGAGGTAGTAGAGGCCCCATTGGTGGGAACGTTCAAGCCCAGGTTGGACAGGGCTCTGAGCAACCTGATCCAGCTGGAGATGTCCCTGCTTACTGCAGGGGGGCTGGGCTAGATGGCCCCTAAAGGTCCCTTCCAACCCAAAGCATTCCGTGATTCCGCACATGCTAGTGTCATACAGGTATTCAGCAAGAGACCAGAGCTCTAATATTCAAAACCAGAAGTGGATACGCAGCAAGCAAGAGTCTGCAGTACTCTCTGTAGAAAGTGCTCCTCAATTTATGACAGTCTTATGGCACTGCTCTTAGTCTCAGCAGATTACAGAATCACAGAATGGTCGGGGTTGGCAGGGCCCTCTGGGGATCACCCAGCCCAACCTCCTGGTCACCCAGAACAGGCTGCACAGCACCGCGTCCAGACGGGTCTTGAGTATCTCCAGAGAAGGAGACTCCACAGCCCCTCTGGGCAGCCTGGGCCAGGGCTCCGTCACCCTCAGAGGGAAGAAGTTCTTCCTCCTCTTCAGCTGGAACTTCCTGTGCTTCAGTTTGTGCCTGTTGCCCCTTGTCCTGTCGCTGGGCACCACTGAAAAGAGTCTGGCCCCGTCCTCCTGACATCCACTCTGAAGAAATTTCTAAGGTCCCCTCTCAGAGTTCTCTTCTCCAGGCTGAACAAGCCCAGCTCCCTCAGCCTCTCCTCGTAGGAGAGATGCTCCAGTGCCCTCACCATCCTCGTAGCCGTCCTCTGGACTCTCTCCAGTAGCTCCTCATCTTTCTTGAACTGGGGAGCCCAGAACTGGACACAGCACTGCAGATGGGGCCTCACTAGGGCAGTGTAAAGGGGGAGGAGAAAAATTAAAAAGGGCTCTAACAAAAGTAGAGAAGGGAAACGGACTGTGTGGTCACCTCTGCACTTCCTGCATGCTCAGAGCACCGTCACGAACGCAGGAGGCTGAGGGTCCCCAGCTCCTGGCAGCACAGGGAAGACTGAACCAACGAGCTTCCACGCTTCAAAGTGCAGCCCCTCCGCGCGCCCGAAACACGGGGCTCGTTGCTGCCTGCTCTCGTTAGCAGAGAATGGACGAGCTGAGAGATTCCAGCCCAGCAACGAGCTGGAATCAGCTGGAATCAGCTTCAAGTGGCTGAACGGGCCGATTTCTTCCCCCTTCAGAGCTAAACAACGCAGCTTGTCAGTAGGCTGGGTGATGAGTAAATGGAAAGACCAGATAATAGTTTACAAACATTTAAAGAAATAAATACCAAAGAGTGTGGGCATATGTAATTTTTTTTTAAGGCCAAACAAGGAGCTGCACACAGGAATGTGACGAAATTAAGGCTGATCATGATGAACAACTTCCTGAGAGATCTATCATCCTGTGGGACAGCCCGAGTAGAAGTGATGGATGCCTGATGACGGAGATCGTTTGAAATTATGCTGGGCAAAACAGAAAGCATGAAAACAGGCCTAAGGTGGCATGGCGACTGCCAAGATCCCCAACAGTATTCGCCTCTCTAACTTGCCTTACAGATTCTCTTCATTTCGTAGTTGTTTCTCATGTGCTAGCCACGCTAAAGAAGAAAACAGCTTTAGTTCTCCCGCTGGAGTCCACCTCCTCGCTAACACAACCTATCTGCTGCTTCACCTTTTTTTACCAGAGCTGTACACCAGACTGGTGGTTTCAATTATTTATCCACGATGATCCCTGAATTCTTCTCCTGATCAGCTTGTTGGATGACTGTTCCCTTTAGCACATACTCCCTAGCTCAATCCCAAATTATTTTCCAGTTATCTTGAACAGCATTTGTCACCTCAATTATCCAAATTCTTTGGAATCTTGGAATCTGGCCCTGCTGTTCCTCATCATAAGCCTGAACCTTGCAACGTTCTGGGCACCCCATGCCTGTCAAATCCAACAGCCAGTGAGAAGATGCAGAGTTGCATTGGATATGGCTCAACTGTTTTGCCTCCAGTTGCTCTATTATCTGCTTGGGTTTTTGTTTTGTTTTTTTTTTTTTTTTTTTTTTTTTTTTTTTTTTTAAGTCTTGCTTCCAATGCTGTCTTCCAGGCCATTTCTATAAACAGACAGAATAAAGATACTAAAAATGACCCTGGGAGGCGGGGAGGTCACTTTGCTAGTGTTTACTCACCCAGTAAACTGGTTCAGACCAGTCCTACAACTCTGGAAGGCACGCTATCTTTCACAAGAGATTTGAGAACCACCTTTCATAAGAGATTTGGGCACCTCCTTCCCCCACGTCAGTGTGACTGGCAGCACACTTGGTCACGAGACAGCCGGATCTGAGCTAAGCTAAAACAAAGACTGAATGACTGAGGCATCTCAACTGCATGCCCAAGAGCTTGCAGCATAAGATACACAGAAAGCTCAAACTACAACCACTTGCACAGTCTTTAGTCCTCTAAACTATTCCCTCAATTGTTGACCAACAGCCTTGGGTAGTAAGAGAGTCGAAATCAGGCCCCTGACCTATATGCCTGGCTGTTTACACACGTTTTTACCTTCCTCGTCACTGCTGTCAGACTGAAGCTGTTTGATTCGCTTCCTCTTTTTCTTCAGATTTTCGGGATCTCTTTCTTCCTCATTATCCGACTTGTCCACCCTCTTCATTTTACTGCCACAAAATGAAAAAATGAACACGTGTTATCCTTTCTGCATGCATGAAAGCATCAGACACATTTAGACAAGCATGTTCCTGACTGAAGTCCTGCTAGCAAGGAAATCAAACACCTCTGTACCTCTTAAAACAATGAGCATCACATACACCGAAGTATACTCACCTGTATAATCAGGTATACGTGCACGAGCGTTTTCAAGCCTCTCATCCCTACCCATATCCAGTTCTCCAAAACAAGGAGGATTTCTTTAGCCCCTCTGCAGTTCAACGCTTTGCCCAGTACCTCACCTAGCTTGGCCACAACAAGCTGGCAAGAGCGGCTTTCTGATCTTGTCTCTGTAGCTCAGGCTCCCAAACACTCCTGTCCCCAACAGCATCGCTCAGAAGCTCTTTTGACAGACTGCTTGCCACTGACTGACTATGAGGTAGTGTCTCAGAATCCTGGAGCCATTTTTAAAGACTACTGGAAAAATAAAAGAGCTTCTTTCTTTTTAATGTTGGCGAGACGCGTCAGACTAACGAGCCTGGAGGCTAAAGGCCCACGTAGCCTCATAGAGCTGGTACAGCCCAAGTGGCCTTCCCAACACCACACTGCCAACATGCAGTTTCCAGGCCCTTGGCTTTTTGAATAAGACTATCAATAAGAAGACCAGTTAGCACTAACTGCGATGGTGGGCTGGGCGGTGTGCTTACCTATTTAGTTAGAAACGGATTGAGACCACCAATTAATTACTCATAGGCCACCAGAGAGCCATCAGGCTGTAATGATTTTTTGTCTCTGTCAGTTTGGGTTGGATTAAACACAAAGGGCTGAACTTGAAATTTACTTGGAGTCTCAGCCCAAAGTAAACCAGGGGCATTGAAAGCAGCACTACATTAGCTATGGAAATCAACAAGCAGAACTTTGTGTGCTGGGAGCTGTGTACATACAAGCTTGGGAATATACTACCTTCCCTGCAGTACAGGTGCTCCTGCCAGCCCCCACAGATTGCCTGCGGGGTCTACACTACGTCTGCTCACAGCGTGAGGTTGTCTCGTGGAACGCCACCCCCTCCCACCGAAGACTACCTGGACCGTGTCCCTTCCCATCTGCAATGGCACAGATGGCCCCGAGGCATCTACGGCACCAAATGGAAAAGAAATATTAAGAAAGAATTCTAAGAGAGATAATTTTAGCAAGGTTTACATGCAATTTAGTAGCGGGAAACCGGAGGTGAGCCAGCATTGTATGGCCAGGCAGCTCCATGCAGGCAAGCAACAAGTGCCTGGACAAGGTCCTGTGCAGCCTGCTGTAGGTGACCCTGCTTCAGCAGGAGGGTTGGACTAGATGACCCACAGAGGTCCCTTCCAACCCCTACTATTCTGTGATTCTGTGAAGTGGATTAACAGATTACAGGGACTCTGAACACTGTGGCCCACCTTTTTTTGTCCTTTTGTTGACTTCTAGCAGACTCTGCTTTCTTCCCAGGTTTCTCTACTGCAGTATTAGGGGATGACTCCGGTTCTGCTACAGGAACTGCAGGCTTGACTACTTCTTTTTCCTCCTTTGGCTGCTCAGGCACAGAGTTGACTTTGAGTTTATCTGCGAATAAACCATTGAAAAAGGGCATTCAGTTTGAACGACAGCTTACAAAGGAGTTTGCTAAACAAAACACCGTGCACAAACACTACAGAAAACACTACAGATGACGTGTAAAAGCATTAGGGAACTAGACTGACCAAGTTGTGTCATACACAAAAAAAGGGGTGTGCTTAAATTTCTAGTAGATTTACCAGTTTGGTTTCGCTCCTGACGGCACAGCCCAAGCATGCTGCAAGCCCAGCGTGCTGCAGCAGTTAAATTCTGCTGAAGCAGGCCAGGAGGCAGGGGCAGAAGCCCTTACGGTCATCAAGACCAAAGGCACCGCAGAAGGGTTGGGAGCCCCTCTTCCAGAGAGCCCCCTTGGCATAACACCACGCCCATCTTTATAGTCAGTTTATGCCTTCTTAATTAAGAGTTTTAGTCAAGCACAGAAGAGCCCAGAAACAAAAGAATCAGGACTGATGAAGAGCAATGAGAAGTGTGCACAGTCTCCATCCTGTGTAACATTAGAGCCCACGATTAGTGTTTTCAGTAATGTAGTGGCCTTTCATCCCACCCCAGCCCCAATGTGATCAAGAACCAGCCTCTTTTGCCTACACAGCACCACGAACAAGGACAATTCTGCTTCAACAAGGCTTAGTCTAGTACCAGAGAAGAGACAGCAGGTGGGAGTGGACAGCAAAATAATCTATTTATCAACTTGATATGTGGTGCTGCTAGCACACTAGCACCTAACTACAGTCTGTGAGCTTCATTCAGCAGCTTCACACACACCCCACCAGAAGAGAGGAGCAGATAAGTTGGAAACCCACACCATCCCATGCACAAGATGCCCGAGCAACGAAAAAGTGCTCAGCAATGAGATCAACTACATTGTCAATAGGAAGAGAGGCTGCCGAGAGGGCTGAGACTTCATGCCAACAGCTTTCTGACACTGCTTGGAAAACAGGCTGGCTGCTTCATTGAGTGAGGGAAAGCATCTCCTCCATAAGAACCTGAATGACAGCTCACTTATTTATGATCAACAGCAGAGAGCTGAAGGACCCAATTATTAACTCAGGTCTTTCTGGCAATGGTGACGTCTTTGAAGCCAGGAGAGATATAACATGCAGGGAATAAATCTCACTCCTGGAATCACCCTCTCTCTTCCATACACATAATCATTTCCAGTTCTGCTCAGTCTGCTCCTTCCCTGCAGCCACCTCGCACGTTTCGTTGAAGAGCTCCCCGACAGGACTCAGCAGAGAAGAGAACCCCACTGGAAATCACGGCAGTGCATCCACGAAGCTTTCTCCATCCCCCCTGGGTTATCTTTCCCACGCAATTTCAACTTTCTGGGTTTTCAGAACAGGAACTTTGGTCTAGGGCTCTTCTCAGATCTTAAGAATTTGACTTCTTCCCTCTGAGGGTGACGGAGCACTGGAACAGGCTGCCCAGGGAGGTTGTGGAGTCTCCTTCTCTGGAGATATTCAAGAACCGTCTGGACAAGGTCCTGTGCAGCTTGCTGTAGGTGACCCTGCTTCGGCAGGGGGGTTGGACTAGATGACCCACAGAGGTCCCTTCCAACCCCTACTATTCTGTGATAATTGTAGTAACTGTGCTTAGGCTTGCGAAGCTTAGGCTGAAAACGTCCTCAGCTCCCTCAGTTTCATCAAAACACGAACTCAAAGATGCCCAACAGTACTGTGCCTTGTGTGTTCAGCGCTGGAACCGTACCCTGCAAGCTTGGACAGATGTTGGTTAGAAAGTTAACTCTGCTGTTTACTCTCTCCCAGTAACACTTCTTTGAATCCCCTTGTACTCGCTACTATGAAGGCATTGTTGAAGGAAGTCCTACAGTCCTTTTCCAACGTCTATTTAAAAGCTTCAGCATATTTTCTTTCGACTTAGATAATTTAGGTCAGAAGGGACCTCCAGACGCCACCTACTCCAAACCCCTGCTCAAGGGGGAAGGCCACCTCTCATTTTTATCCTCCAATTATTAGCTCTTCAATTTTCAGTGAATAAATTAACCCTAAGTCTAACTACAGACTCCTCGGTGATTTGTGATGAAAAGCAAGAATCATTAACACACCCTGCAATTTTGGCAAACATTTTACCAATAGCTAGAGCTCCAGCCAGAAGTACTCACTTTAAATCAGATTTCTTCTGCACTAAAAATCCTTTTTGGGTTAGTCTGCACAAATATGTCATTTTAATTGATCTCCATCCAGCAAGCTTTTTGTCTGAAAAATTCCACTTACAACTTTTAATTTTTGCCTTAAGAGCTCCATACAAAACCATTAACCCCTCCGAGTCCAAAAGAGCAGAAGGACAGTATGGAAAACTGTGAGAAAAGAGGGGATATAAAGAAAATCCAACAGGTTTGGCGGGGTGGGAAGGAAGAGTTCTGCTCCTTTCTGTTTATGCCTCCCATCATAGAGGTATAACAAGATGCCCGATATCACTGATTTTTTTTAATTGCTACTTAGCCTTAAAAAAAAAAAAAAAAGAGAGAATTTCCAATATCCCTCGGGATTTTTTTTTTTTAATTTTTTTTAAAACTACAGCAGGCTGGTCCCTGCCCACAATGGTTTCTGAAAACAGATGCGTGTTATAAAGCACTTACTCATGGCAGCTTTTCCAAAGAAGTTGTTCATTATGTTGGCCTTTGCTGATGATTTGCTGCTTACTGCAGACACCTAGAAGCAAACAGGAGTAACCACAGGAATTATTCACGCAACGCAGCCCTCAAAATGCATAGTACCGGACAAGCAAAATAAATATCTCTGGTTTGTTGACTAGTCAGTGTCTTAGATTTCGGTATCCGTTTAGGAGAATTTGAAGATCCCAGATATTACATGCATCAAAGGGTCGAGACTGAGTTAGTTACGACTCCTTCGCTGGGCCGTCCAACCCAACTTCGGTCACATTCCCATCTGATGGCTGACAGTGTTACTGAAATAAGCGGTTGGGACTTGGGTCCGTTCCCGGTAAAGAACTGTTCTTTTTGCAAACTATCAGTGCCTCAATTCACAGTAACTGACAGAGGAAAGAACACAGATTGGCCAAACCATGAAGACTTTATCCAGCTACTCTGGCACGTACGCTGTTCTGCTGAGCCGTTTGCAAAAAGTATCACTGCTCTATTCCATCAATACAGCCACCAGCAAAGTGCAAAATCACACACACACACAAAAACCACCTAAGGAAGCTTGGCCTCCTAATCCCATTTATTTTCATGCAACAACAGGCAACCAGACACTAAAGTTCCCAAAACACTGAGACACACATACTTCACCAGTTCTAAATTCACTACAAAAATCAGAAAAATGAACCAAAATGTACTTGGCTGTTCTAAAACAGCCAAACCATACGCAGGGAACGTTACCATTCCAATACCCATTTACTGGCCACATTTCTTTAAAAACAATTATACTAATTAAAATGTAATCCTATCCTGGAAAAAAACCGCAGTTGAGAAGATAAACAATTTAGTCTCGCACAGGTCAAGCTCTGAAACTTCCCTCACAGACCAAGTTTAAACACCTTGATACTTTTAAGACCTGAACTTCTCACATTTCACTTATTGCTCAAAACAAATCCTTTTAAGCACAACGGAGAGAGCGAGGTCCTCAACCCGTGTATATATTGGCCTAACCGAAGACAATGGAACAATTGTCTCAATAATGCAGCTATGCTGGTTTATACTCGCTGGAGATCTGGCTCGAGGTGGAACGTCAAAGAGTCAAAGTTATGGCAAATATGCTTCTGTGGATCAGTCAAGAGCGTGGCACAATATTTTTGCTCAAGACGACGGACAGAAGACACGACTGCTATACAGTAAAATACAACAGCGTGACGGACCATTCCCAGCAGACAGCAAGTTTAGCACTAGAAGCAGAAGACAAGGCTGCACTACAGCTGTTAAAGGTTATTTAGGTTGAGTAAAAGCAAAGCTAGAAGCATGGAATTATTTAGCTTGGAAAACACCTTTATGATCATCAAGTCCAACCATAAACCTAACACTGCCAAGTCCACCACTAAACTATGTCCCTAAGCGCCACGTCTACACGTCTTTTCAACACCTCCAGGGATGGGGACTCCACCACTGCCCTGGGCAGCCTGGTCCAGTGCTCAGTAACCCCTTTGGCAAAGAAATTATTCTAATACCCAATCTAAACCTCCCCTGACACAACTTGAGGCCATTGCTTCTCATCCTATCACTGGTTCCTTGGGAGAAGAGACCAACCCCCCCTCACTCCCCCCTCCTGTCAGGGAGCTGTAGAGAGCGAGAAGGTCTCCCCTCAGCCTCCTCTTCTCCAGACTGAACAGCCCCAGCTCCCTCAGCCGCTCCCCATCAGAATTGTTCTCCAGATCCCTCACCAGCCCCGTTGTCCTTCTCTGGACACACTCCAGCCCCTCAATGTCCTTCTTGTAAGAAGAGGCCCAAAACTGAACACAGTATTTGAGGTTTGACCTCACCAGTCCTGAAGACAGGGGCACGATCCCCTCCCTACTCCTACTCACCCCACCATTGCTGATAGCAGAGCAATTCATTAAAACCATTAACCCAAAGAGCTGCCAAAGGGTCTGAGGTAACTTACACCTGGGGCCTCCTTAGCCTCTGCTTTAGGGTCTTTACTTGTGTCCTGGGGTTTGGAAGCCGCTTTGGCTGCAAACATTCCCATGATCCCTTTGGGCTGCTGCGAGGTCTGTTTAGCAGTCGATTGACCATGGCCGTTGACCACAGGTACGCCGACAGCGTTCGCGTCGCTTGGTGTCTGGGAATCAGCCTGCACAGACTTCTGCGCTTGAGAATTTTCAGCCGACGTCCTGGGGACCGCGGCGGCACACTGAATGGCACTGTACCTGTGTGATGGAGTGAAAAGTTTAGTTAGCCTTTTAATTTCTTATTTTTCACCTCGGTTTCCTCCCTGGTAGCCCCTTGCATCTCTGGTCCTGTGTTCTCCTGTTACGGGGTGGGGAAGAGCAATTGAATTTGTGCACGAGACAAGAAAGAAAGGCTGGCACAGAACGAGAGCGACGGAGACTCTACTGAAAAGATCAGCTGAACCTGTCAGCAAGAGCCAGAACATTCAAATACTAAACAAGCTGTTCAGATTTCACGGCGGGGGCAAAAAGCCCATCTCCACACCCAGGATGGAGATGGAGCGGACTGCATATCATTCCTAAATGGGTTACACTCTCTCAAGTTTGCGGCATAAATTGTATGGCTGACTGATGATGTAAAACATTTACAGCTTTCAGATGCTTTGACAGAGTCCACTACTGCTGCAACAAGCAGCCACAATCGTACCAGTCAGGTGAGTAAATCACAACTGAAGCTGAACTACTTAAACGGCTCAGAAGATACCCATAACATTCTGACTTAACTATATAAAGTGATTTCCATGTCATCACTGGTAGACAGAGACACGTCTCAGCTTGTAACAGTCTGAAACGTGATTGTTTGGGGATGTGGAGATACAAGAACTAAATGATGTGCTCAGAGTTACAATACAATTCCCTGACAGTCAGGAATAGCAGTACCCAAAAATAACTGAACTCTACTCCCCACTGTGCAAATCACAGGCGAGGCTTTCCAGATTCCCTACAGAAATGCCACAAAAGAGCACAGACTCACGCCTTCCAATCCACTGAATTACACAGCAGATTTTTATTTGCATAAGAAACAAATCAGTCTTCTGCCAGTTAATTTCTGTGCCTCAGCGTTAGCGGCTCACGTGCACAGTCCACTTCTACTCAGACCAGGAACCGACATGTATTAACAAAACAACACCATCTCTACGGCATTTCTAGGCTGCAGCAGCAACCTCTTGACATTCAAACCTTTAAAGGAAAGAATGAAGACATTGAAGAAGAATATTCCCACTTGCCTTTATCCTGTCAATCTGCTTTCATCATGGTCAACCCCACTCTCTGGACAGCTTTGGCTCCTACTCCACACATACCCCTAAACACCACCATCAACCCTCCAGATTACAAACAATGTTTTATCGTCAACAGTTATACTGAGTGTGCAGTAAGCACTTCAAAACCTCACACATCCCAGGTTCTTGGGACGTTAGCTCGCCTTAATGCTGCTGTGTGGCTACAGCTTATGGGCTCGGTCCAAAATTCCCCAAATAAACACTGAAAAAACAAGCAATGTTTGGACTGTGCTCTGCAAGCAAGGAGCTGCTTCCGCTTGGAAAGCTGACATTAGCAACATGCATTAAATCCAGCTAGTTATATTAGTACAACACCTAGCCACCTCCACCGCCTTCACAGCGTAACAAGCCCCATACGAATCCAGAAGAGAAGGAAGCTCCTCACCCCAGAGCTTGTGAGATCTACGGACCGAGAGGGAAGCATAAGGAGCCAGGAGGTTCTGTCTGCCATCAACACAAACATAGTTAAACCTCTGTCTTTTCCAGGTACTGCAGGAATCTTGTCCCAGGCGTAAAAGACAATTCATGTAGCTGACAAAGGAGAGGGAACACGGTCAGTCTGAAATTAGTTCAGCCAGGTCGCAGATGAAGAAAGTAAATTTTTCTTAGTTTGCTCAGGAAATTCTGCTCCAAAGCCAGGCAGGGATTTACACGTAGGCCTCAGAAAGCTATTTCAGAATCCAAGTTGTTGTCTAAACCTTCTGGATGCACAAGGCTGAACGGCAGCCTCCTCTAACACACCAGTATCGCCACGTAGGGGTGCCTGAGAGTAAACAGACCAGAACAAGGCAACCGCAGCCAAACCCGCAGCACGCATCTTCACTGAGGCAGGGTTTTCCAGCCCTTACCAGGGTATTGATATTCACATTTAAAAACACATAGCTTCTCTAACACTCTTTTCTCAGCCACTCGTCAGCATTTTGAAGGCAGCTACGTTTTTATTTTCAAACTCTATACTCTTTCTATGACACAGCATTCAGGCATCCCCCTTCTAAACCAGATTGGTCATGGCACTGTACGTACTGATTACATCAAGCTAAAGCTGTCGTGGTGGAAACCCATGTAAATGAAAAGCCACAGCTGCCAGGCACCGTTCAGGAGGAGAGACAATGACCCCTGGAGACTGAAGTCCCTCTAAATTCTAGGACAACCTTTCTATAGTTCGACCAACGAAGGACATTTGTGCTGCTTGGTCTGTTTTGTACGCTCCCCCTATGCCTCAGGCTCTCATCTTCTACACGGAGGATGAGTTCCGGTAAGGCATCTTGAGAGGGGTGGATGGGCACAGTGGATGAAAACACAGCCTCACAAAACAGAGGGCAAACTCACATTAGTGCTTTGCTGAGCACATCACTCCTGTTTTCGTAAGTCTGTTTCCATTTACTCTTACTGCACCACCAAGAACTGGATAAAAATGGTCACGATTAAGTGTGGCCTGGAAATGAGAAAAAGGTTTCTTGCCATCAGAGAAGAAAGGTACTGGAACCGCCTGCCCATTGGAGCACGTAAACCAACTGCAAGCTGGAAATAGCTCAGTTTACAAAATAATCCTACAACGTGGTGTCTGGGGACTGGTCTGGCATGAATTCTCCGCTCTCGTGAGACCCCACCTGGAGTCCTGTGTCCAGCTCTGGAGCCCCCAACATAGCAAGGACATCGATGTGTTGGAGCAGGGCCAGAGGAGGGACACGAAGATGATCCGAGGGCTGGAGGACCTCTCCTACAAGGACAGGCTGAGGGAGTTGGGGCTGTTCAGCCTGGAGAAGAGAAGGCTCCAAGGTGACCTTAGAGCAGCTGCCAGTACCTGGAGGGGCCGACAGGAAGGATGGAGAGGGGCTTTTCACAAGGGGGTGCAGTGATAGCGGGGCTCAAGGCCATGGTGGAGGTGGCTGGCAGCAGCCTGGGCTGGGGGAAGATGTCCCTGCTCATGGCAGGGGGGTTGGAACCAGATGATCGTTAAGGTCCCTTCCAACCCAAACCATTCTGTGATTCTGTGACTTAGAAGATCTCTTTTTCTAGCTTTCTAAAGATCCAGGCATATCTTTTAACCATTGACTTCTGCTGAAGTGCACTATGTAGCAACATCTCCTCAGTCTCGAATCACATAGCGTAAGAAGAAAAACCAAGATGCAACTCACTTGCTGCAGTTGTGCAGGTTTGTTTTGACAATGTCATAGTCTGTGTTGTAGAGCGGCCCGCTGTCCTTGAGCAAGGCTTTCTGGATGCTGTAGACATGCACACTCGCAATCGTGGCTAGTTTAGACTTCATTGCTGGGGAGGGAAAGAAAAAACAGTCCTCTGTGAGCACAGTCTTTACAGAATCAGGTGGCAACTTCACGTATCAGGCTCTACCAAGGATGCAGAAAGACTGACAGATCACTTGACAGCAAAGACCAGAAAGTAAAAACGTGTAATTGCACCTTCTTCCAATGCTCACTAATTGAGAATTCAAGCTAACAGACTCCACAAGCCTGTCAAAAAATGTTTTCCACTCTACACTCTTGGTTCTGACACAAATGAATTAAGACCATTCTCTCTGTGCTTACCTTCAAAATGTCCAGTGTTTGGGATCCAGAGTATCTACAGGACTACCTAAAGCTAAGGAAGACCTTCTCGCTCTCTACACCTACTTGAAAGGAGGGTGGAGTGAGGGGGGGGGTTGGTCTCTTCTCCCAATTAACCAGCGATAGGACGAGAGGCAATGGCCTCAAGTTGCATCAGGGGAGGTTCAGATTGGATATTGGGAAAAATTTCTTTTCTGAAAGAGTGGTCAGGCCTTGGCCCAGGCTGCCCAGGGCAGTGGGGGAGTCCCCATCCCTGGAGGGGTTCAAAAGCCGTGTAGACGTGGCCCTTGGGGACATGGTTGAGCAGGCACGGTGGTGTGGGGCTGACGGTTGGACTCGATCTTAGAGGTCTTTTCCAACCTATGATTCTATGATTCTAAGATAAGAGGTGGTCATAACTCTGCCCTGCTGGAACTGCTCTCTGCCATTATAGTAGCGTCCACCCTATCAACCACTGTCACAGTGACTTCTCTAGTAGTCTGCTGGAATCAGTGTTTTGTCTCTGCTTTGCTATTTAGGCTGTAACCCCCTTGAGATAAGAGCTGGTTTTTAGGAATTCTTTGGTCATTGCTTATATTGTTCTTTCCACACAGTCCTGGTCTGAGACAGAGCTTCTAGGCACTGTAAAAATACACACAGTAATCATTTCTTGGGGCCAGTCCTCGATTCTGCAGCCCTACTCCCGTCACAAATCTCAGCCTCTTCCAAATGTAAGTCATACCTTTGGCCTGTCTTCCAATACAAAAAACATGAACACCCCCTTTCCTCCACAGCAAAACAGAACATTATGCAGCACACATAATTTGACAGGACAGATTGTCAAGCAGTGCAGCTACTATCTACTACCCTGATGAAGACAACTTTAGCTAGAAATCCACTTCAGGTTTCAAAAAGGAAAAAACAGCACAAGTCTTTGAAGCAAGGTTAGATCATTAGCATGGATATTTAAGGTCACAAATGCCACAATATGTTCTCAAATGCCAAAGATGTTATTTGAAAGCGACGAAGAGCCTGCAGGTGTGCTTCAGTTGCTAGGGATCAGATCTCAGCAGCAGCACCAGACCTGGAAAGAGGGTAAAGCGACTGACAGCGCATGCAGAACAGCTGCAGGAAGCAGTGTTACAGTGGTAGGTTTTTTCACCTTTTACCATGAAAGCAAATACCCCTGACAAAAGTGAGAATGTTCTCGTGGGACGTTTAACCAAGACCCACGTCACTGAGGGCAAATGAAGACTGCAATTGCATTTAACCAATAATTAGATTTATCTACTTCAGCATCCTTGGGAGCCTGAAGGCTCATAATTGTTCTAAAATATTCTAAAATATATTCTAAAAAATATTCTAAATATTCTAAAATAATTGTTTTAAAATAAAGAGTCCAGCGGAGGGCTACGAGGATGGTGAGGGGACTGGAGCATCTCCCCTACGAGGAGAGGTTGAGGGAGCTGGGCTTGTTCAGCCTGAAGAAGAGAAGGCTGCGAGGGGACCTTAGAAATGCCTACAAATATCTGAAGGGTGGGTGTCAGGAGGATGGGGCCAAGCTCTTTTCAGTGGTGCCCAGTGACAGGACAAGGGGCAATGGGCACAAACTGAAGCACAGGAAGTTCCGTCTGAACATGAGGAAGAACTTCTTCCCTCTGAGGGTGACGGAGCACTGGAAGCGGCTGCCCAGGGAGGTTGTGGAGTCTCCTTCTCTGGAGATATTCAAGACCCGCCTGGACAAGGTCCTGTGCAGCCTGCTGTAGGTGACCCTGCTTCGGCAGGAGGGTTGGACTAGATGACCCACAGAGGTCCCTTCCAACCCCATCCATTCTGTGATTCTGTGCGTGAGACATTGCTGTACACTACTCGGATACCATTGCCTTTAAAGAGGAGCCGTCTGCCAGCGGCAGGGGGGGGGGAAAGAATTGCTGACTAAAACGTTCAACACCAAAAAAAAAAGAAAAATCAGACCCAAATCACAAGTCTGAAGCTACGCAGCTGTTGGCTTAGATATTCAAAGTTCTGAGAAAAAGCTGGTACAAAAAGTACACACCTGAACCCAACGGCCTGACTAGGCATTTATGTGCAGATGGCAAGTTCTGAGCTTCACTCACTTTGCTGTTCTTTCAAAGAAAAAAAAGTTAAAACCGCATAATTTTCACGATCTGCTTACCTTCAAGTTTATCCTCTCTCACTACTGCAACCTTGTGGCACTGTAAAAAAAGAAATAAATTGCAATCTTATAATTTGAAAAGATCTGTTGTATGTCAGTGATACTTTTATTTACTTATTGACTGAGAAAGTCTACTGATTATAGGTGCAGCTTTCTAGCTGCAAGGAACGCTGCCAACACCTTTAAATTGTCATCAGCTACTAGTTTTTAAAGCTCTGTCTTCCTCCTTTTCTAATCAACCGTTTCACAGATCACTACCACCCTAAAGAAATCCTCTGTCCTCCATTCCTGACACTGGCAGATGAGACACAGATGAAACGAGAACTCCACAACTGCGCAGCACAGCGGAGAAAAGCAAACTAACGCAGCTGATGACCCGGCTGCTAGAGATTTGCCACACTAGCCCACATCACCCACGTATATTTAGCTTGCCAGTAAACTCTAGCATAGCAAGCCGTAGCACAGACACGGCACCAGAAGCAAAACACCACGAGAAATTAAGCATTAATTTGAAAGGCAGAAATTAATGTTTCTGGAAATGTGCTCTACGGCCGGTCTTCAGGGACTACACCTGCTCTGTGACATTCAACAGGCTGCAGTTAATACAGGGAGTATCCAAACAGACAGACTGGACAAAATCCAGCCACTAATTTGGTGTTTAACTGATACCACAGGCTAGCCAGTGAAAGAGTAAGAGGCAAGAAAACGCAGGCAACCTGAAATGGTAAAGAAAGATTGAGAGTCTCAGTCCCTCACTGAGGCGGATAAAAAGCTGCAAGTAAAGAGCATGCAGCGCTTACAACACGATGAGAATTATTGGGGACAGATTTCCAGCTACATCTCCCTTCAGATGAGCTGAATCTGCAGCCTTGGGGCTACACCTACTGACAGCAGACAGTAGTGCAGGGCTGCACCTGAAGCACTCCCATCCCTTTCCTACCCAAAATTGACTTGTGCCAGATACCACCCGCCAGCTACCCCAATACCCGCACGTCTTCTGGAAGTACCTTCCAGATGTGAGCTCTTCTCCCACCAACTCCGGCCAGCCTCAGACATGCAGTCAGAGGAACTTTAAACTTCTCCTGTGCAGCATTCCTAACCCTGGCATTGCTTCATCCCTGCCCCCAACAACTTCCTGCACCTGCGCGTCACCTTTCTCAGCAGGCCCTGCTACTGAAGTATTCAAAACCAAGATATTTAAAAACAAGACAAAAAAAGTGACCTTTCTACTTTTACCTTGGTAGATCTCATTTCAAAAATATAGCAGCTGTTAAGGAAGAGTTTATAAAAAGTTATTTGTATCCCGTGTCAGAATTCACTTGTTTGTTTTGAATACATTATGGCAAATTTAAAAACCATAGAATGTGTTGATAAACCTCTGGCCAGTTCTAGTGAGTGAAGCGATGCTACCTTGTTACTGACAAAAGAAATCAGGGGGAAAACCTGTTAAAGTCAGGCTATAAATGTGACACTACCTGTACAGCTTTAAATAAATATATTCAGAAGTAATGCAATAAATAGTTACCTAATCATTAGGTAAATTAAATAATTTCAGACAAATGTCGAGATTGAAATAGAATGTTCTATTCATGTGAACCAATTTATTACTTAGGAAAGCCAAAAAGTTTTGTTTGTTTGTTTTTTCTTCCAATCTACAAATAAATGCCAGGAGACCTGAGATGTACTAATTCTAAATGAAGACTATGGACTGTAATTGTAAGAGATATTAGGATATTAAATATACAAATAGCTAAATTTGTATCTAAATATACAAAGAGACACCTAATAGAATATCAAAGGCATTTAGTGTTTGCTACTGTGAAGAAAGGGAAACAGGCACTCAGTTTGCTCATCTTCTTTCAAAAACTGTCTGGGGTACCTGTCTGAAATTTTAGACGACATTCCTGAGAATCTGACAAGCAGCAATGAGAAAAAAGAAATACTTTAAGTAGCAATTCCTTTGCTTAGTAAATCAATGCATTTTAAATACAAAATACTGTTAATAGATTTATGTTTCTCCTGTATACCAGGATAAAAAAGTTGCTTTATTCAACAAGACAACTTCAACTATTTATTTATTATTCCATTTATTATTTATTATTATTCTAACTGAATTCCAAGCTCACTCCACAGCAAATCCTGGGAAATGGATTAGCTGATTTCACAAGGGCTCCTCCAGACTGTTTTATAAAATCTGCTGTCTGATATTAGTGATGGGATGGAGATGACTGGTACCAGGATTTAAGTTCATTAAATAAAAACCCTGGTGTGTTATTCAGCACTGTATTATCAAACCATGACCAACTGATCTTTCCTTCCTATCATTTGTGTGCTGGGACAGAGACAGTGCCTTATTTTGTGCATATACAGAAAACCTAGCATGCTGTGCCTGTTACTGGAAAAAAAAGAGAGCAAGTTCAGCTCTTGACCCAAAGGTTACAGAACAAGATGGAAGACACAAGAACAAAGAACTCACAGACACCTCTGAGAAATAAAACACTCACAACGTGTCCGTTCTGGATGAGGTTTCCTGCCACTAAGTAGGTGACATGAAGCTGAGCTCCCGAGTTCTCCTTTCGTTTCCTCTCTACGTAATCATACAGCATCCTGCACAGAAGAAACCAGTGTTAATCACCTAGAAAGGAAAGAGCCCGTCACCACCCCTTCCGTGAAGCTTACACAAAACGAGCAAAGCCAGCCTGACACGGAAACATTTCACGTAAGCACAGTTACTTTAACCAGGATTAAATTAATCTTACTGAGACACCTTTCTCCACTTTGAAGAATCCCTGTCCAACAACTATACAAACCAAAAGTGAAATGAATACAAGCTCTCAGAGCTCCGGTAGCTGGTTGCAGATGGTGTCACATCCTCTGGACAGCTTGTTCCAAAGTGTCCTCTCAAGAAGGCCATTTCCCTTGTTACAACCCAGAACTCAAACACCTCACAGAAGAACTGATGATTTTTGATTCCCTTGCCAGGTGTACACACACAATCCTAGTTGAATCCACTGACACGGTGATCAGAAACAGGAGCAAAGAGGATGACCAGTGATGAGGGGACTGAGCTGACACTCAAGCTTTCAGCTCCTGCTGATACCACTGATTTATGACGAGCGTCCCACGTAACTGGGCAGAGACACTACCACACATTCCATGAGGATGCTACCTGGAAGAAGTAAGTGAAGTTCCCCATTGCCACAGAGACAGATCGCAATTACCACGCTGCCACAGCCACCACAATCACTCAAATAATTCATTTGTGTTATCAGGCACTTGCCAGCTTCTAGGAGAGAGTTTTAAGCGCAAAGATGCCACAGGAGTTTTCCATCTCCAGGCTGCTTTCAAGGGTATGAGAAGGGGCCTCCATTTCACTGGGCTGTCTTCTTCACAGCAAAAAGTTCTCTGGCTCCTTCTATTTACTGTATGACCAGAACTGTTCCCAGCAGAGATCTCCAGTCAAGTCTACACCATCACTGAAGCACGCTCAGATTTACCCATCATCTAAACTGCTCACACACACACAGTGGAAAGAGACCAAACAATCTCTTTGTTACATTAGATGCCTGAGTTGATATTCTAGTAGTTTGGACAAGACAGGTGAAGCTGGGCTCAGTATGTAGCAAATTCCCCTTTAGGTCCAAGCTACAGCCAGAAACAAGAAGAGAAAATATTTGTATTATGGGACTTGACGCTCTTACGGAGACTTCAAATCTTGTGCTTAACTTTACCTTGCTGTGTAGCAACTGCCCTGGAATCCTTGAGAGCTCATTCTTTGTTTTATAGGGTATTTAACAGGTTGCAGTAATTTTTGTTCTTCAAGATACACCAAGACAAGGTTACACATTTACACTAAGTTTGGAGAAGCAAAAAAAATATCTGACAACGTCGCTGATTTCCCCATTCTTCAAATATTCACCTGTGCCCTCCAAGCCTGGTAAGCAGTTGCTAACAAAGCACCACGCACTACGTAGCAGGATGATCAGAGCTGATGAGCATTTGCCACACACGTAATTTGCAGTTACCATTAGTGCTGTTTTGCATTTTCCCGACCGTGCTCTCGGCAATATCCAGGGCTAATGCACGGCAGCCGGAGCTGAGCAGGGATATGCAGCAGCAGATTCTCACAGGGGCACAGCTCCGTCTGCAGGACTGGGGCCAAATTCAGCAAACACATCTGCGTTTCAGGACGAAAGGAGCTGCGTACATTATTGTAGTAATGTAGCACTAAAATATCTAGTCTGACCCAAGTATTCATATTTATGATACAAAATAGCTTAAGGTGTTCAGCTAAGCGCTGTTTTCTGGAGCACAACTCCCAAAGTCAAGGCAAACGCTGCCTGCAGGAAGAGTGAGTGAAGCGAGTCGAATAGCATAAACTGTACCTGAGAAGACACACAGGATTTTTAAATATTTCCAGAGAAATAATTTTAATACACCAACCACAGCCATGAAAACAGTAATTAACAAGGCTTTGCCACAAAACAAAAGGTTTGTGGGATGCACTAATACCTACTGTTTAGCCTGGTTGACGTGAACTCCCAGAGTGTAGCTTAGCCATTTGTATGTTACCTGCAGACGAAAAAAACCCCAAGAACACTTTAGTAAGAAAATCTTGGTCTCTTTCGCTGTTAAACCTCCCATCCTTTGCTTGTTTTGTGGGTAAGTCAAACTCTTTAGAACACCCTCCCCCCAAGAAACCCACAGCAAAACCTGTTAGAAGAGAGAGCACGTGGACACCCACCCACTCGTGGTTTAATGAGTAGATTGAACCCCTGAGACCTGAACAAACTACCTACCCTGAAAGGCAGGGTTTTGTGAATGCCTTCTTGAAATGCCAACACATAAATAAAAGCTACTCAGAACATCTGCACTGCTTAGCTTGACAACAGAGAAAAAAAAAAATTAAACAGCACAATTTTTAATTGTGAGAAGCTCTTACTGCTCTCCCAAACAGCTCCTGAGGATTTATCGGATTTCTGCCACCCTCCCCATCACAGGGATCTCCAGCTCCATCACAAGTGTGCCAAATCTCAGGAGAGTACGGCTCTAAACCCAGCCCTGCCACTGAATTGCTTGATTATTTAGACAAGGTATGTCTTTTATACCTGTCTCTCCTCCTGCTCTGTCATTTTAAACTAATCCTCAGGCTAGGGCCTCTCCTGTCTCAAATACAATAATTAAATTAAATCGTTATTAGTCTAGCAGTTTACTGAAATAAACCATAACGACATAGGCAGTTCATGTTAATACAGCTGCTTTAACAGACAAGATACACCAACCTTACCGTGTCACTCTCTAGGCAAAACAAAACAAAAAATCTTTATTTTGAAGGAAACACAGACATGCATGCTCACCATTTTCTGAACTGCCCTAAAAAAAGCAAGGCTTCAAGAGGCTACAGATAAGAACTAGTAATTTTACTTTAAGCTGAAACAGTGGTCCAGACTGCCTCGAACTTTCATGGAAAAAACCACCATTTCATACACTTCTGTTGTTTATACCTTGAGCTAAAACACTGCTGTCACTACAGTGCTTTTTTTTTTGTTTTTTGAGGAAAACCAGCTCACCGATTAGGGAGCACAAGGAGTTTGGGGAGAGCTGCTTTTCCTGTGACACAAACGATCCCATCACCAATTCACTTCAGAGACATTAATTTAAGGCACAGGGGGGGAAAAAAATCCTGACAAGAAAGGCATCTCCTGGCCAGCCTGACAGAAAGTCCGTCTTAACTCTACATTGTGATCTGTGGAAAAGCAAACACTGGAAACGCAGCCAGGCATGGCACACACACCCCAAAGATGAGTAAAACCTGAGCAAACAGCCCTGAGGGGCAAGGCAGCAACAGCTGTGGATGCCTTCTTTCCTCTGTGCCTGCCGAGGCGGCTGGGCACCCATGTGTGTCCC